GAATATCTTTTGAATATACATGCAAATATCTCCTTTTGCGAATGCGTAAACGAGCATATGTAACACAAATATACATACACACACACACATACGCGCGCGCGCGCGCACGCGCACAGATAGATAGACATATACACTCATAGACATATATTACACAAACATATGTTATATTTGTTCAATTGTACGGCAGTACGTTAAGACCGATTAAAATTCATGGAATAATGCTTTTACATGTAGAATTCGTTGTACATATTGAATTTTTGATAATATTCGTATAACAATTTATGATCCGCCATTCTTGCTTGAGCTCATTGCGAAAAATCATATAATGAAAAATCTATTTTCCTCGTTTTCTCGTTTTATATATTTTTCTTTTTTATTTCATTCTTTCTTTTTCTCTTCTCCTTTCTTTTCTATGGTCTCTCTATCTCTATCTCTATCTCTATCTCTCTCTGTCTCTCTCTCTCTCTCTCTGTCTCTTTCTTTTTTTTCTTTTTAATAAAATACACCGTTCCTGTGAATACGCGAACGTGTTTAATAATAGAACGAAAAATTGAAGGATAAAGGACTTAATTTGAGAACGTCCATTTTTGTCCCTTGTTGAAAACCAACGTTTGCAGATTGTGCTGATTAGTATCTCTTGGTGCTCGGTATTTTCTTTTTAATTTTCTTTTTTTTTCTTTTTTTTTTTCTTTTTTTAATTTCTTCCCTTCTTTCTTTCCCTTTTTCGTCGCCCCTCAACTACGACATTATGCAAACCGTGAGTTGAACGATTAACCATCGCGTCTCTTTTGAAAATCGCGATGAAACAGATAAAACGTTTCGTTTCATTCAAAGAGAAAAATGATGGAAGAAGAAGAAGAAGAAGAAAACGATGATGAAGAGAAAGAAGTAGAAGATGAAGTCATTCAACCACAATTAATCTTTTCATAACCATTAAGGATAATAAATCAAACTCGATCTGGATTATTAGATAAATTCGGGGATATGCAAAAATTTTTGCAAAAATTATAATGATCGAGGTCGATCGTTAAGTAAAAATCCATTCGAATATATACACATATATATATATATATATATATATATATATATATATATAATAATGTGATGATACCACGTGTTTGTTATTTCTAATCGAAATAAAAAAAAAGGAATTTTAGAATAGATTGGGTCGAAATAAATTAAAAAGCAAAAAGAAAAAAAAAGAGAAGAAAGAAAGAAGGAAAGGAAGAAAGCAAAAAGAAAAGAGAAAAAAGAAAAAAGAAAATAAAAGAAAAGAGAGAGAGAGAGAGAGAGAGAGAGAGATAGAGAGAGAGAAAAATCTTTATACGTACGTGCTGCATTATGGTATAGTTCTTTCATAATTTATTTCTCTCTCTCTCTCTCTCTCTCTCTGTATATGTGTATGTGTATGTCTGTGTATGTATGCTTAAATTTCAATGGAAATTCTCGGAAAATTTCACTCATTAATTTCTCTCTCTCCCTCTCTCTCTCTCTCTCTCTCTTTCTTCCTCTCCTATCTAATTCGAGTATCAGGAAGAAATAAATTTTTCTTTTGAAATAAGGGTAAAAGGGATATTAGTAATCTCTTGAGAATACAAGGGATGAAATCCCACGCGTGTTTTAGCTTTCCTTCTCACTCCTTATTTCTTTTTCTTATTTCCTCTTCTTTCTTTATCCGCGAAACTAGTGAAGAACAATAAGAAAAATAAAAAGAGAAAGATAGAAAAGAAAGAAACGAAAGAGAAAGAGAAAGAGACCGAAAGTAAGAGAGAAAGAGAGAGAGAGAGAGAGAAGTTTGGTTGGGGGTAGAAAAAAGAGAAAAAGATACAAATAGATTAGATATGGTGTCCCAATGATTACTCGTCTATGAAGATACAAATGACTCTTGCTGACTTTTGTTTGTCAAGAATCAACATTATTACAATAGTACTCGTTCTTTCTCAACTTCTTCATCTTCATCTTCATCTTCTTCTTTTTGTCTTGCTCTTTTTTTTTTTTTTTTTTTTTTTTTATTGATACAACTCGTAGAAACAGAAAGAAGAAGATACGACTCCTAATAGACCGATACATCCTTCTTCGATATATTTCTCTTGAGCTTTCTCGTTGATACGTAAGAGACTTTTGTCTTTAAAAACAAATATCTCGAGTAAATGCGTTTCTATAGAAATCTTTTCTTTTCTTTTCTTTTCTTTTCTTTTCTTTTCTTCCTTCTTCTTTTTCTCGTTTTTCTTTTCCTTTTTTTTTTTCTTTTTCTTCACTTTTCTTCCGCTCGTTTTTTTTTCCCCTTGCAATCATCAACGACACCATCGTTTCCTTTTGTCACATATTTTTCCAATGGACATAGGGGACATTCGTTTTTTTGTTTCTTTCTTTCTTTTTTTTTTTTTTTTTTTTCTTTTTTTTTCTTTTTCCGCTTTTTCCCGTGATAAACATAATACTGCGAAATATTTCAAGCATATTATTTACATCGTATCCATGAAATAATACGGTCAAAGATGATCATGATAACGTACGCGTATATATTTATATATATATATATATTAGGATTAATGTATCCAATGATTTCACGTGTTTACGTAAAATGGTTAATGATTTTTTATTCTTTACGTGATATCGAGCGGCTAATGATATTTTTTCCCTTCTTCTTTTTCTTTTTCTTCTTCCTCTTCTTCTTCTTCTTCTTCTTTTTTCTTTTTTTTTTTTTGTACGTTTCTACGGGGGAAAAAAAACATTCGTCAACGTTGAAAATTTCGACATTGAGAGATATAGAACGATAACTATTCCATGACGTGTGAACGTCATGTTATCGTTATTGATTATATTTGAACTTTTGTCCTCCGGATGAACTTTTGACGGAAAAAAAATAAAGAGAAAAGAAAAAAAAAAATTAAATTAAAAAGAAAAAAGAAAAAAAAAAAAGAACGAGAACGAGAGTGAAAGAAAGAGAGAACGAGAGAGAGTGAGAGAGAGAGAAAGAGAGAGAGAGAGTGAGAGGAGGGAGGGTTAAAAAAAAGAAATGAAATTTTATCTCTACGTAGGCTCACTTCTCGAATATTACTTCGTTTAATAAATTATGTATCTTGTTTTAGTCAAGAAAAGATAAAATTTCGCTGAAGTTTCCCTTTTGAAACATCACGTACGTGCTGATTTTCTCCCAATCTTTTCCCTACGTAGTCCTCTCTTCAACGATATTCTCTCTCTCTCTCTTTCTCTCTCTCTCTCTCTCTCTTTTTCTCTCTCTCTCTCTCTTTCATTTTATATTCCTATCCTCTTGCTTTCTTTGCTTTTCTCTTTTCCTTTTACCTTTCGTAGCCATCGAACGAGCTTCACACTCTTACTCCAGTCACAGACGACCAGTTTTCAGGACCATTTCAGAATAAGTTTTTCTCACTGAGTTTCGAGGTCAAATTTTATTAAGGCACTCGTTGGCCCGAAGAGCTAAAACGAGTCCTTCAATTTACTATAAAAATGATACCCTCGACCGTTCTGGCACGTGATCATTGCTCACTAGTTTTCTCTCTCTCTCTCTCTCTCTCTCTCTCTCTCTCTCCTCTCTCTCTCTCTCTCTCTCTCTCTCTCTCTCTCTCTCTCTCTCTCTGATATTTATTTTTCTTTCATTTTTTTCCTTTCTTTCTATATTTTATTTATTTCTTTATTTATTTGTTTATTTATTTTTCTTTATATATATATATATATATATATATATATACATTTTTTTTTTTTAATTACAATTCTGCAATCACAACGAATCCCGGAACGTTCCAAATTTCAAATTAAATTCGTTCGAGAATGATCGTTTTGAAAAACGATACTTGCTTTTTAATTCGTTTTAAATTAACTCCGTAATCGCCTGTTCCTATATTTCCATCTTTTATCCATTGTACGAAAGGTTTGCCTATCGTCAGGGGAAGGTAACGATGGGGATGATTAGTGAAGGGGAAAGAGACAGGACATAACTGGACTATATCTTCATTTCTAAAATTTAATCGATTAATCATACTGAAAAATATTTCTTGAATATTTTAGAATAATATTATTAATATTAGGTGAAAATTGAATCGACGTAATTGTCCGATGTTTTTACTTGCATTATTTTTTTTCTTTTTTTCCTTTTTTGTTCCTTTTTGTTCGAAAGCGATAAAAATTACTTTGCAAAAGGAATAAACGTAATTAATTGTCAAAGTTCGTCTAAAATAATATCAACGTACTAATCTAATCAATTAATATTCCAAGAGTTTACGATTTATTATTTAATTTTCCATTTGAGCGAGCCGCACTTTTGGTACGATCATCTTCGAGCAAGTCAACTCGTCCCACTCTCATCCCTCCGTTTTACCTTTAGCCTTTTACCTTTCTCAATAACATCGAGTAAATTACCATACGAATGGATTAGATGATAGGATAGACGACGATTTCCCGTTAAATCCAAACTTCCGACAACGAATTCGAAACTTTCTTCGAGGGTTGATATAACGTTATTACGATTATTATTAGATTTTTAAAATGTTATTATCAATCTGCGAATAAGGCTAACGTTTAAATTGATTTAATAATCGTACATCGTGAAAAATTTTTACGATACGTCATACTTTTGTGTTTCCTACTTATATATATATATTTAAAATTTTTCAGAGAATTTATTTGAATTGATTTCTCTCTCTCTCTCTCTCTCTCTCTCTCTCGCTCTATTTTTTCTTTTCTTTTTTTTTCAACAAAGTGAATTTCTCTTAAAAATAGGATCGTGTTTCCATTTAACTTTTCTCTCTCTTACTCTCTCTCTCTCTCTCTCTCTCTCTCTCTGCCTCTCTCTTCTCTTCTCTTTCTCTCTCTCTTTTTTTTTTTTTTTTTTTTTGTTCGAACGATCACCATACGCTTTTCCAGGAGATACTACATCTGAGATTACGATGATCCTGTACTTCAACATTTTATCAATACGTATGGATTCGATGTTATCGGCTATAAAAAAAAAAAAAATTTGTGTGTCTGTGTATCTTTTTCAGATCGGCCAGATCCTTATCATGCGATGTCGTTGCCGAGCCCGAGACTTCGACATTACAGGTCGAAACAACTAATTAGATATATGCCTTCTAGTTAAAAAAAAAAAAAAAAAAAAAAAAAAAAAGGAAGTACTTTCTTCTTTATCTCCTTTTTTTTTTTTTTTTTTTTTGTTTCTCTCTTAGACACAAGTTTTATTATTATCTGCTGAAAATACGACATTGTATTCTATATTATTGCTCTGTCGCTCTAGTTATAATTGTGCATTCATCTTTCGCATATAAATATAACTATATTTATATATTATATAGATATATACTATACATATATATATATATATATCAAGTTGTTATTTGCATCCATGCTTTTTGGAATGAAATTCATCGCTTGATTCTCACGATTTTTACATCTGTATCTGCGTTTCTATTTATTTTTATTATACATATATACACATATATAAATATATATATATATATATATATATATAAATATGTGTGTGTATGTGTGTGCGCGCCCGTGTGCGTGTACTACAGTTAAAAAGTATTGTTTATATTTTAGCATCGTTTGTTATAACTTAGAGTATGTCTCGTTGAGCTCTCGTTTTAATCACTTTTCTAATTAAAAGAAAGAAGCGTGGTTTCCTTTTTTTAATCAAGACAAAAGAAAAGAGAAGAAGGAAAAAGCAAAGACAAAAGAAAAAAAAAAAAAAAGAGAACAAAATAACTCGTTAAATATATTGCTTGTATAAACTATCGAACGAACTTTCTCATTCATTATCAATTAATAATAAAAAGTAATTAATAATAAAAATAACGTCTTAGTGCGTTCTCGCTTCTATTTTCTTTACTTTTTCATTTTTATTTTATCATTTCTTTTCTTTTCTTTTCTTTTCTTTTCTTTTCTTTTCTCTTGGTTTCCTTTTTTCTTCGAAAAAATAAATTACTATAAAGAAAGAAAGAAAGATAGAAAGAAAGAAATCACGTCTACGATGATCTCCTCCTTCAGCGTTAATATTCTCGAATATTGTTTGTGGCGTAAAATTTGCATGGCTTTTTTGATTGATTGATTGAAATTACCAAACATAATTATTTTTATTGTTGAAAAATTGCATTATTCTTCCTTACTTCTTCTTTCCTTTCTTTCCTCCAGCATTTTTATTCTTCTTAATTAGAGAAGAAGAAGAGAGAAGAAAACAAATAAGAAAAAAAAAGAAAAAAGAAAAAGAAAGAAAGAAAGAAAGAAAGAAAAAGGAGAAGACTAAGTAGTAAGATTGTTACGTCGTCGATCGTCTTTATGTCGGCTTAAGCCGAGCCCGCGTTTTCTTTTTTTCATTTTCAGGACCATGACAGCGATCTGCTTCGTGTGTAACCTGCCGATCCTGAGTCACCAGGTCGGATTAATATGGCAAGGAGGAAATGGCTGGGACGATCTCATGCGAGAACAGGTGGAGGAGACTACTCTGAGACAAAGATTAGGTTAAGATTTATCATTGATTGTTAATTATTATGATATTAAATTCGATATATTATCGTATTATTATGGTAAAAAAAAAAAAAAAAAAAAGAAAAAAAGAAAAAAAGAAATTCGTCAAGAAACAGTTCTTTTATTTCTTTTCTTCTTTTTCTTTTTCTTTTTTTTCCTTTTTTTTTTTCTTTTCTTTTCTTTTTTCAAAACATTGGAAAGTCTCAATCAAAATCGATAATTATGAAGTCTACGAATTCGCCAATTGACGAGTTACGTTTTTACGTTTTCGTTTTATTATTCCTTTTCTTTTTACTTTTTTTTATTTTATTTTTTTCTTTCTTATTTTTTTATTTTATTTCATTTCTTTTTTCTCCTCCCATAGGTACAGGAAGAAGAGATTCAGCGACACAGATCACGTCGATCTCACCGCCGAACGAGATCCAAGAATCATCCCCTACGAATCAACGAAGGAGACGATCAAGTTTGGCTCAATTAACGGATATAATAAGAGAATGGGGTGGTGGTGGAACAGGTGGAAAGAGCGGACGTGGTAGTAAGCTATATCGTAGAGAAACATTAGCTGATATAGCTAAATCATTACCGTGGTCAAGACAGACAACATCGGACGCCAGTCATCTGGCCAGTTTGAGAAAAAAACGTGAAAATTCAGAGGACAGCGGTATAAGAAGTCAAGCTTCGACGAGATCTAGAAAAGATTCAACGATAAGTGATTTTAAAAGTGATCTAGCCAGATTATGGAGTAAGAGAGATGTTCAACCACAACAACCACCAACTGTTATCTCACCAACACCAAGACGAGGTAACAATCACTTCTATATATATATATTCATTAATAATTATAATATGTATATAGTAAAGTTTACGATTATAATAAAAATTATTATTACAAATTAACATAAAATTAATTTTTTTAATTTATGTTTTCTAACAATAAAATAAAATGGATTTGCCCCATTTTCAAAATCAACGGCTCATATATATACATTTATATATATATAGAGGATATATGTAAATATTTGGAAGTCTTATCTTTTTTCATTTTATTGATTTGTTTGTTCATAAAAAATTAATGATAATTATAAGATTTAATTTAATCGTAGGTTCGGGTGAAAGTGCAAGATCGAGAAGGGATTCTATTATAGCCGGACAAATTCCTAGTCCAGGCGAGCGAAAGCACAATTGCCGTCATCACAGACGTCGACAATCTCAACAATCGCAGCAATCGGTCGAAGGTGTCGGCGTCACGCCTACTAAATATTATATCAATGATCAAAGACCGAGTGCTTCCAGCACTGATAGCGGTGCCAGTAATATTGCTAGGTCAGTACGTTTCTAATGTATATTTAACGAATGAACATTACAATAGTAAAGTCTATTATATATCAAATATATATATATATATATATGTACATATATGTATATAATGTCTGAAATGTAGTGAGAAAAAAAAAGAAATTTGATTATTAAAATCATATCGTATATATTGCAAAAATGTTAAAAGAATAATTATCTCTATTTAAAATAATTCAATTTCAAAAGAATTATAAATAATTTTACAATTCAAATGATTTTCTCGATAATCTTTATATTCTTAATAATTTAATGCGTTGATAAATAAATAAATAAATAAATAAATAAATAAATAAATAAATAAATAAATATTTATTTTTTTTCTTTTCTTTTCTTTTTCTTTTTTTTTCCAATAAATACTAATACATACTCGATATTAAATATTTTTATATCGTACAGAGATCACACAGATACGCGTAGAAATTCAACGGACAAGAGCGAAAGGTCGAGCAGTTTCGAATCGAAAAGTCAAATACCAATGCTATCGACGGAAACAAAGGCGGCAACACCTACTACATCAGGCATGACTATCGATGGTAAAGCTATGACTAGTACTGCGACAGAAACTAAAATATCCAGCGTTACTACAGGAACAACTATGTCGAGTACTTTGACCGTCAATGCGAGACCATCGTCAGAAGTTAAGACTCTTACTTTGGAACCATCAGTCAATACTCCAGCCATTATAATGTCCTCTGTAACACCACCGACTGTTTCACCTGTAACTGGAAATAGTCTCCCACTTCCTGGCACTTCGACCACCGGTAGTTCCAGTCCAGTTGGATCACCGAGCGTCAATGCAGCACATCCCTTGTTAGCTACTCGAAGAGATTCCACCACGCAAGTACGTCCCTAAATATATAAAAACAACGTGGAATGTTTGATTAATTTTATTTCAATATTCAAATCAAAGATAAAGTTTATGAAAATATTTCTTTTATTTTATTTTATTTTATTTTATTTTTTTTTTTTCAGTAACTGTTTTACATATCGTCGGTAATGTCGATTACGAATGTCATCGATTAATAAAAAACTTTTTTAATATCCCACCCCTCACACAGATGTCTCTCTTTATTAAATCTCTTTTTAAAGGGGGTTGCATACCATGAGGGATAGAGGGATACAAAAAAATAAAATTCTTCCTGACAGATGATATTCGTAAGCAATGTTTATCGACGATGTACGGAATGTTACATACCTTCAGGCGTAATATTAAAATTTCTCTTTTCAAATGTATATTATATATAATTTTTATTATAATCGTAAATTTTAATTTTGTTTTCTTTTGTTTTTTTTTTCTTTTTTTTTTTTTATTTTCTAATATAAATAAAATTAATAATTATTAATAATTATGATTGATGTTCGTCAATTTGCAGTGTTATTACAAAGGAAAAGAAGCGTCGCCGAATAAATTATCAAAATTAACGCGGCAGGCAGCGGCAATAGACGAATCCGTGCCTCCTGTTGGACGACGTGGTAGTCAACCAACGTTATCACCTGATCCAGATGACGGTGGTAAGAATCGATAATTCATAAACTTGAACTACTACTCCTCGTACTTGCCTTACGATTAATTATTGAAATATAATTCATTGATTGGATCTTATTTTATATTTATCAGGACGAAAGGCACGCAGGGATTCGCTCAGTCCGGATTCCGCGTCTTATCCAAGACGTCGCGATTCGAAGAGTCATTTGAGTCCCGATAGAACGGTCGATAAAAGAGATATCAGTCCAAGTAGACAGAAAAAAGCTCAATTGAGAAGACAGTCAACTTCATATGCTCAACCACAAAGGTATTTCATTGTTCATATCGATTATATCAAATATCATAATGATATAAAGTAATAATATGATAATAGTAAAAAATTCATTAATTAATTAATTGATTCATTTATTCATTCATATTCTTTCGAATGATATTTTATATATATATATATACATATATTTAATAATTCGTTATAACGTAAAGTAATTATTAATATGAGCGCGATAAGGCAATAATAAGTCTCGATAGATTATGGATAAAAATTTGTTGTTGTTTAAAAAACAAAAATAAAAAAAAAAAAAAAAAGGCAGGAAAACAAAATCCACTTGATCGTGATAAAATTATTTAATCGTTTTCATTCAGATCACCGAGTGGATCATCCTGTTCGTCGAGAGATCCAAGCCCTTGTGCGCGTGCACCACTTCAACATTCTCAAACAATGCGAAGACAATCTACTACAACCGAAGAGATCCTAATAGCACGTGGATTTCGACGACAAAGTACAACCGAAGAGATGATTAGATGTCGAAATTTTCGTAGGCAGAGTTCCCAGAACGAGGACACGGTGGGTCATCCTTACCAAGTAACTGTTTTTTCATTTCTTATATACATTATCCTCGTCCAATCAATATTCTCGTTATTATTTTTTTTTTGCTTTTCTCTTCTTTTTCTCTTCTCTTTCTGTTCTCGATAAATCAGGTACAAAGATATCGAGGACGAAGAGATAGTTCAGCACAAATCACCGACGGAACTTTTGCTACAATGACGGTCGAGACCTCGAGCACTTTTTTCGATAGCAGCACTCAGACTGGTAAGTATACACAGAATTTATATTATTTATATATATGTGTATATATATATATATATACACACATATATAAAAGCACGTGCCAGTCATTATAAATAAATTCGAGTTCTCGTTTTACATCGTTTCATCGTAAGATAATAATATTCCTTAATACGCGACGAATTAGACGATTTATTCGAAAACGTCGAAGGATGTGTTAGTCTTTCGGAGAGAAAAAAATTTTTTCTATTACAAAAAAGAAAAAAAAAATAAATAACGATAGAACAAAAAGTTGCACGACGAATTGACGTAATCAAATGAAAAGTTATTCTCTTAAACGAGATCGACAAAAGTCTTCGCAAAGCTAAGAAGGAAATACATGTTTTTTTTTCCTTTTTTTCTTTTTATTCTTTTTTTTTTTTCTTCGTACGATTTGAAACGAACAATTCGAAAATTTCGCGGGCGAAATTAAAGAAACGCGAGTGGGATATAGTCAACGAATATAACACGCAAGCGTATAGAAATGCCGGTTAAGGGATGGTAACTGGCGGTCGACGAGACGCAGGCGTTCTGTCACTGCCCTTAGTTCGAGAGTAATCGTAGTGGGTGCAGGTCAGTCGATAGGCCAGAGAGAAACTGCTGAAAAAAAACATAGCTTATTCTGAAAGCGAGCGAGAGAGAGAGAGATAGAGATATAGAGAGAGAGAGAGAGAGAGGGAGAGATAGACAGATAACTAGATAAATAGATAGATAGATAGATAGATAGATAGATAGATAGATAGATGGATGGATGGATGGATGGATGGATAGATAGACAGATGGATAGATAGACATTGAAGAGACATAGAGATAGAGAGACAGAGAGACAGAGAGACAGAGAGAGAGAGAGAGATATTGTGTGTATATACGTGTGCATAATACGTGTGTATTATCATACTATCTCTCTTACTCTTATTAGAAAAAGACGAGCGTGCGTGTTTCGCCGTTCTCGCGTCGTCGCGGACACGTTGCCTTACGAGGGTGTGTATCCCCTGTGAGAGAGAAAGAAAGGGAGAGAGAGAGGGAGAGAGAGAGAGAGAGACTGTATGAGCGTGTGTGTACATGTGCATGTGTGTAAGATAGAGAGAAAGAGAGAAAGAGAGAAAGAGAGAAAGAGAAAAAAAGAAAAAGAGAGAAAGAGAGAGAAACAAGAAACGTCGTCGTCGTCGTCGTCGTCGTCGTCGTCGTCGTCGTCGTCGTCGTCGTCGTCGTCGTCGTCGTCGTCGTCGTCGTCGTCGTCGTCGTCGTCGTCGTCGTCGTCATCGTCGTCGTTGTTTCGAGGTTCTCCTATTCGTGTCGATTAAAGCTTGAACATAGAAAGAGTGTGAGAGAGAGAGAGAAAGAGAGAGACTTAGAGAGAGAGAAAGTTAAAGAGAGAAAGAGAGAGAGAGAGAGAGAGAGAGAAAGGGAGAAAAAGATAGAAAGACAGAGAAACAGAGAGAAAAAGAAGAAAGATTTGAATATCACGTTAATTACGAAGATTAAAAAGAAGTAATGACGATTCGCGTGAAGTGACAAGATTAGTGACTATCGTCTTTCATGTCAGAAGGATGTCAGTTTCATTCTAAAGTGTAAAAAGAAAGAAAGAGAGTGAGTGAGTGAGTGAGTAAGTAAGTGAGTGTATAAGTGCGAGTGCCTAAGTGTGAGTGTCTAAGTGTGAGAGTGAGAGAGAAAAAGGTAGAGTGGGAGAGAGTGAAAAAGAGAGAAAGAGAGAGAGAAAGAGAGAGAGAGAGAGAGACAGGATCTAGGACGATAGGCTAGGAGCATTTCGACCCACAACGAGTTCGATTCGAGTAATCCAGGAGTGCACGTTGACGCTTGAGCGCCCCTCGTATCGTGATACTCACACGTTGTGATATTCTAATTCTACTTTACTCCATTCCCCTCTCTCTCTCTCTCTCTCTCTCTCTCTTTTTCTTTTTTTCTCTTTTAATCTCTCTCTTAATCTTAATCTGTTTCTCTCTCTCTCTCTCTCTCTCTCTGTCTGTCTCTTAATTTCTTCCTTCCTCCCTGTCTCTCTTTCCTTCTTTCTTGCGCTAATAATCATTACAATAATAAAGAAGGCAAAGAGAATTTCGAGAAATATATAACTTATACGATATCCTTCTTTCTTGTTTCTTTCTTTTTTTTTCTTTTTTTTCTTTTTTTTTTCTTTCTTTCTTTCTTTTTTTTTGATTTTTTTTTCAACCTAGTCGTACACGTTGCTCGATTTTATTTCTCCCTCTTCCTTTCTTTTTCTTTTTCTTTTCCTATTTGTTCGTTCGTTCGTTCGTTCGTTCGTTCTTCTCTCATTCTTTTTGTTTTTCTTTTCTTCTTCTTCTTCTTTTTTTTTTTTTTATTTTTTTTCGTTCCATTTCATTAGAACGCAAGATGGGTGGTGTCCTTTTCTAAGACATAAAAGTTTCGTATTATCCTGTAAAAGTTCCATACTCGTCATTATTATCTTCGATCTTGATTTTTCCTTATCGTGTCGTTGTTCCTTCCTTTTCTCTCTCACACATTGTCAAATGTTATCACTGTGAAATTTCTCTCTCTCTCTCTCTCTCTCTCCCTCTCTCCTTCTTTCTTTCTCACTCTCTCTCTCTCTCTCTCTTGCGAGGGAACGCACACGCGTGTCTTCTTATCGTACGATCAAAAAAAAAAAAAAAAACAACAACAACAAAAAGAAAAAGAAAAGGAAAAAAAAGCTGTCAAGAAACCATATACACACACATATACACACACACACACACGCAAACGCGCACACGCATACACGCACATATACAGCCAGACATAGAGAACCAGCAGGACGCAACCACTTGTGGCGGTGCAGCAGCAGTTTGGGTATAAGCCAAGATCTATCCGGTGTTTCTTGCTCGATCCTTTACATACTCTTCTATATATATATATATATATATAGAAGAGAATATATATATATATATATATATTCTTTTTTCTTCTTTTTTCTTTTTTCTTTTTTCTTCTTCTTCTTCATTTTCTTTGTTTTTCTTCCTTCGACGAAGGCTTATCAGAAATCGTCGTTTGCTCGTTTCAGCGCCTAGATCTCTTATCGAGATCCTTTCAACTAAACTTCCTACCTTTCTTTCCTTCCATCCTTTCGGTTTGTTCTGAAGCGTCAAAAAGAGAGAAAAAAAAAAGAACAGAAAAACAAACAGAAAAGAAAAAAAATATCGGAAAAGAAATCCTTTCTCTGAACCTTTCTTATATCAATCTATAATATATATATATATATATATATATATATATATATATATATATATAATCTATATATATATATATATATATATATATATATATATATATATATATATATATGTATCTCTCTCTCTCTCTTTCTTTACCTCTTTCTCTACGTCTTCTTTTCGCGTTTTTTACGTGAGAGAAAAAACTATAAAGGGGATACGAGTGATGGAAAAAAGGACTCGTCTTGTAAAGGAGGGGCTATGCACCGATCACCTTCCATACGAGGATATCACCTTCGAAATCTTCGTGGATATGGTGTTTCTGAGGTATGTCAGCGTTTTTCTTTTTTCATTCTTAGTTTCATTCTTCTATTCTTTTTCTCTTTTTTTTTTCCTCCTTTCTTTTTTTTTTTTTTTTTTTTTTGTTTATCTCGTTCCATTAGATACGATTATCGTGAATCCTTCGATCGAGAATAATCCTTCGATCGAGATGAATAATATCATCGAAATAACGCTTAATACGTGATTGTTATAGCGATATACATAAAATGAAATAATTAGAAGAATCATTTATCGTATGTATATACGTAATCTTTCTATTCGTTGTATTAGAATATATTAGAATTTTTTAATAATATTACGTTATATATGGGAATCATATTTCTAAGGCAATAGTTTTATCGTCGAAATATTCGTAAATATTTTTGTACGAAGATACGTCGTCGTTTCTTCTCTCTCTCTTTTTTCTTTTTTTTTTTTTTTCTTTATTAGATAAGATTAGAACGTTTGAATATTTTTTTTTTTTTTACGTTTACACAGGATAGAAATAAAACTTGATTAAATTCTTTTCTCTTCAGATATATTCTTTATGAAAATATAAGCTCTCTCGTACAAGTATCTATGTATTTTCTTGTTGTTCTCATTTTTTTTTTGTCTTTTTTTCTTTTTTTTTTTTTTTCTTTTCTTTTCTTCTACACGTTTGTTATTCACTTTAATTAGTAATTTAACATGTAATTGAAAAGGATTTTGTGTTTGATGAATAATTTTGAAATAACGCGTAACAAGAGGTTGCTATGGCGATAGGATAAAACGAGATGATTGGAAGAATCGCGTTTACCACGTTTTGTTATCAAAGTTTCAAGGTAGATTATACTAAATGTATTCTTTATATATATATATATATATATATATATATATATATATATATATATATTCTGTTATATAATATATAATATATATATATATCGTATTGGAATTTTTAATTCGTTGCCAGATAGACAGGGATTTAATAGACAGAATATAGTTCTTTCATTTTTAAATTAGAATTGAAAATTAATCGATTTGTTTGAACATAAAACAAAATTTATTCTTAGATTAGGATATTTTTCTTTTTTTTTTCTTTTTTTTTTTCAATTCGATATTAAACAGCATTTCTTTTACTTCCAATGAAATCCATTTAAACATTTCAGATATGGCCATTCGAATGAACGTTAGAAATAGTTATAAGAGTAACAAAGTGAGAAAAAAAAAAATAAATAAATAAATACAAAAAAAATAAAAAAAGTATGGAATCTGTGAAATTTGATCGGCAAAGTAAAATTCGTTTTACAGTAAAACGCATTGTTCTCATGTTGAGTAGCAACTTATGCGAACGTAATTTTCCAAATCGGATAGAGTACATTCTCTCTCTCTCTCTCTCTCTCTCTCTCTCTCTCTCTTTCTCTCTTTCTCTCTGGTTCTCTCACACAGTAAATCCATTTTAAAATTACGTTTGTGTATGTTCGCGCGCAAAATGGAGCAACG